TTTTTGTTGAGAGAAACGCATATTTATGGGCGATAGCTAAAATTATACCACGTTTCTCTTTGCCTCGTTAGACTTACCCTGACGATCCGTTTAGGTGAAACCTAGGTAGGTTTGTCTGGCTCACTAGGTGTATCTACACACACACACACACATATATATATATATATATATATATATATATATATATATATATATATATATATATATAATCAACTCTCCTGTCGAGATTTGGCGTATGAGGGCCAAGCAGATCAGTTTCCAGGAAACCGACAGCCCGACACCGGCACATGAGATTTGATTATAGTGGTGAAGTTTCGTGCAGGAACATCCACACTTTTTGAAGGGACGAATACAGAGACCTGATGCACCGAATACCACAAGGTTCCCAAACGACCCTCCGCAGGTTTTGAATTCAAAGTTGTCCTTCTCCTAGACCAGTTGCCATCCAAGGCTATAGAACCCAGTCTGTCCTGCTATTTTACCCATAGCTGGAGGGAGAGGAAGAGGATTCATACCTTTCCCAAGGGTATTAGCACGTAAGTGAATTTAATATATATATATATATATATATATATATATATATATATATATATATATATATATATATATATTCTTCTTCTTTCTCTATTGTCTTTTATATGCTTTATCATTTTTGTTCACCTTTTATTACTACAACTACTATTGCTATTACATATTAAAACTTTCTTTTCATTATTTCTTATGTGAATTTTTATCGTCCTTTCTCTTTCTTCTTTTAGCCATCTGACACTTGAATATACGTCACTCATCCATTTTCTTATACTCGCTTTCCTTTGCTTTCTTTTTTCTCCTCCATTTTTCTACGTTATTTATTTCTTCAATCAATAGTTTATTCTTGTTTATTCTTCTAATTAATAAATTCCCTCTTCTTCGCTTTTTCTTCTTTTAACTACCGCATTCTTCACTTCATTCAGATGTTTTTTTTCCCCGTTCTTGTACTGCCTCGCCATTTGTTTTTTTTTTCTCTTTTCTCCAACATTTTTCTGCGTTATTTATTTCTTCAACCAATGTTTTCTTTTTTTGTACAACTACTTTGTACACATTTCTAGGACATCCTCCATCTTTTTTCTTTCTTCATCTCTTACCTTTCTCTTTCTTTTACATCTCTCTTAAGCTAGCTGCCGCTTTCCAGCAAGCTGTATAATATCCCCCTCCAGAACTGAAACGTTTAACTCTACCTACCACCTCTCCCCTTCCGCCTACTGTCTCTATTTCTCCATATTTACCGATTTATTACTTTCCATCACCGACAGCCATTGTCGCATGTTACATCTTACTATTCGTCGCTGTAAACTTTTTCTAATGGCTCCTACCCTCGCCTTTATGAGTTTGATTCGTATCCCAAGCTGATTACAACCTATATAAATATCTCTTTCTTGAGACCTACACTTACTTGATGCACCCTTTCTCTGAGAGCCACCCATACACAGTCCACCTCAACGTCCACCATCGCCCTTAACCCTTGCGATCATAGCCTCTCCTCTTCCCATCAAAATCGTACTTCTTTTACAGCCAACTGTTATCTGGCTCCCCACCAAGTAGTCTTTGGTCTTTTACGAATAATGATGGCAACACGCTTCTCTTTCGTCTGCTCGCCCGCGAAATTTTCCACTAACCTCTGTTTATTGTAGGTTAACTTGCAATAATCAACAAACAAACAAGTGAAGAAAAAGAGAAACATTTTGGGGTAAATCCAAATATGTCCGGGCCAGCAGAGACATGCAAGGCTATTCTTTCTTATTTACCGGGAATTGCCCTTGGGTTAATGTGGCTGATAGATGACCACCGGCGTATTACTGCTGTGAAATCAACAATTGTACACTGCCCGCCGCGTATATTTTGCTTGGTTTCAGTGGGTGGGATTGGCGTTCGTCTTCCACAGAAAGGAAAGAAAGTGACCCTATATTTTACGTTGAATATCTATCTCCCCGACTCAGTAACAACACTGCGAACCAAGCCATGATTCACCTTTGATACTGTGGATACTTTCATGTCAGGCAAAGTTCTCATGAATCATCACAAAATTAAGCATACAATGAAATTTACTGAAGATGAAGGAATCACGGATAATTTGCAAGGAGAAGAAATCTCCTTGTCTAAACTTTCGAATATGGGAATCTGCTCACATTATATGCCGGGTACACTCAGGGGGTAGACCATCATGGCTCTGCACAATATCCTGTCGCGTGTAGCTCTTAATAAACTTTGTTTTGCTGTTTTTTTTTCGTCATCCATGTTATGCTTTGTTTTTCTCTGTCATTCTTACTCTCTATCTGACCCGTGAGTATCAGATTTTCCAAGCCCTCCTTCCTTATTTGCATGCCCCAGCAACTTAAACTGTCTCTTTTTGATGTTAAGTATAAGTTTCCTTTTTCTTTATATTTTCTCTATAACTTCACCGTTGATCACCTGTTCGGTCCTTTGTATTCTCACCATCCTTCTGTATTACCTCATTTCTTAT